GTGTTATGCACAAACAATGAATCATGGAACACTACATCTAAAACTAATGATGTAATGTATGGGGATTAACATAAGAATAAAAAAAAAAAAAAGAAGTAATGGAATCAAGATCCACACCCAAAAAAGCCCAGGATTTCTCATCGTGTACCATGTTTCCTTTCTAAACAGATTTTGCTTGGGGAAGGATGGTTTGAATAGCTTGTAAAATAATGATAGCAAATACTACACCCAATGATCTTTCCCTTTTCTCTCTGGCTGGAGAAACGGATCCCTGTGGTCTGCAGGACAGACCCACTTGACTCCTTCATACCTCACCCCACTTGTCCAAGCTCTCCCTTAAAGTCTGTTAAGTCATTGTGTTCTTGACCCCAGGAAGAAGATGAAGTGCCGGACGACGAGACTCTGAACCAAATGATTGCTCGACGAGAAGAAGAATTTGATCTCTTCATGGTAATATCATAGGAACTCATGCACCTTTCTCTATTAAGTCGAGATGTCTGGAGCCCTGCGTGCCCTGGCAGAATTTCATTTGTGAAGCCTGTGCCTTTCCTTCAGTTCAGAGGCTGCAAACTGGCCGGATTTAGCCTGCAGGCATATTTTGTTTGGCCCACGCAGTGTTTTTTTTTAAATTTCAAATTTGTTGCCAACATAAAAAGTATCCTGATTTCTGGCTTCTCCTGAAAAAGGAGAATGGGGCAATACCAGGCCCACGTCTCTATATGGAAACAGTTGGCCAGGGCTCAGTAGCAGCCGTACCCTCTGGACGGGCCATGTGATCCGCAGCTTTGCCACAGATCCCCGCCCCCCACCTGCTGCCCCCTTGCCAGCTCATTTCTAACTCCAAGCCCTGTCATTCAGGAAACCTGCCTGGCTTCTCTAGGTAGTTTGTAGCCATTCCCTCACTGTCTCCTTACTGGATCACAACAAATATGCTCCCTATGGGGTAGGGGGACAGCAACCAAACAATAGGGTCATCCCTCTCCTTAATGGTAAAGAGAGCCTGCTTAAGGGAACAGGAACCTTCCAGAAGCACATCAAGGTGTAGCCTCCACTGAAAGATTGAAATTGGTTGGATTTCACCGGTCCGGACAGATAGAAAAGGACCTTGACATTTGAGGCTTTAACATCCATGGTTTCAACCTTGATGTTCCATGCTATGTAGGTAGTCATGTGTAATTTGCTGGAATCTGCATTTGATTTGCATGCGTAGACTGCCACAAGGTCAGGACGTGCGGACGCAAGCCCCTTGGCGAGCGAAGGAGGCCCTCAGGAGTGATGTTTTACTGCGTTCTTAAGGCATGTTCGTAACTATTTATCTCTGCTTCCCCGATGCTCAGAATAGTCTGGCACATAGTACTTGCTTAACAAATATTGATTGAATGAATGCCGGCATTTGCAAAATGTTAGACCTTGTGAAGATGTGAGCGTGGATCAGGACACAGAAAGTTTGTGAGCCTCCCTCCACTACCGCCAATCAAGGTTACCGCGGTGGTAACCTGGTAACCTTGTGTAAGGGGACAGGGCCCCAAGCCCCACATAGCCAAGAATTCCAAATGGCCAAGAGAAGCTGGGAATGTAGGTTTTTCATGTGCGATCTCTGGATTTCAAAATGTTTGTGGCTAAATTCAATTTTTTATTATGATCTAATGCTGTAGGCCAAACAAAACAGGACCCCTGGCCCAGATAGGACCCACAGGATTTGCATTCTCTTTTTAGCATAGACAGTCTGAGAAGGGAGCTCCCGCTGTGTGGAGGCTTACGTGTGTGTGTGTGTGTGTGTGTGTGTGTGTGTGTGTGTGTGTTTGAGATTTTGTAATTTTTGTCTAGGGAACAGTCGTTGTGTCCACACATAATGATTTAAGATAAAAAGACAATTCTTTCTGAGGGAAGTTTCAGGTAGCCATGGGAATAATTCCTAACCTGGAATGTGTACTTTCCCTCCCGACCCCCCGTGCACCACCGTTCCCGGGTTGGGCCATTTTGGATCTAACTGATGCAACAGGGTCATGTAACAGCATGGCCCGTGTAGGGTGTTCCCGAAACCGAGATTTCTTAACTCAAACTGTTGGTCACCCCCTTTATAGATTGTTCTCTACCGAGGGACATTAGAGATACACATAGGAAGCAGACATCTTTTCTCTCGTTGAGGGACTTATTAAAATGTAGATTCTGGGGAACACGGGGGCAAGAGTCCCTCAGCTCCCCTGGCTGCTCACTGATTGGCAATAATGCAGCTTGGCCACAGCCTCAGATGCTCTTGAGCCCAAGAACAGATAAGCTGCCTGTCATTATACAAATTAGATTAGGCCCAGAGATGGAGATTTCCATCAGCAGCCCCGAAGTGGGGTGGGGTGCGGGGGAGGGGGGCGGACAGGAAGAGTGCTTCTCTTTTCTGACTTTTGGGCTGGATATTTGCAGAAATTGAAAGCCTCAGGGGAAAAAAAAAATTGAATGTCTGGCTGAGGCCCAACCTTCTCTTAATTTGGGAGTATTTTATCATACAAGGAACAGGCTTAGAACGAGTGATGCTGGAAAGGGAGCCCTTTTTGGTAGGCATTTCAATTTGGGGCTTGTTCTGCTTGTTTCTCAATGGCTGACTTCTCATTTTTGGATTATACAAATTTGGGGTTTGGTTTGGTGTTTTGTTTTTTTTTTAAATCTAAGCAGCGGGCTGCCTTTGGCCAATTCACTATGCATTAGCACCTCCACCAGGGGGCAGGAAATCAAATTTGAATCCTTGCCAGCTACTCTGATGAAAAAGTTCAGTGAGACACAAGAATGGAATGTGAGCTAGATTTAGATTTCATATATTTAACCTTTTTATCCCTTATTATTAAAAAAAAAGTTCTCTGTAAAACTTTAATATAAGCTTGTGATTTGATTTATCATGGACATTGTAGTCAAATAACACACATCAAACAGACAGTCTCTTTAAAAATAAAACCTTTTTTTTTTTTTTAAGATTTTATTTTTTTTTTGGTGTAAGTGAGAATGAGAGAGAGAGAGAGTACATGAGAGGGGGGAGGGTTAGAGGGAGAAGCAGGCTCCTCGCTGAGCAGGGAGCCCGATGCGGGACTCGATCCAGGGACTCCAGGATCATGACCTGAGCCGAAGGCAGTCGCTCAACCAACTGAGCCACCAGGCGCCCCAAAAATAAAACCTTTCTTTTGAGTATTTTTCTTGTTTCCCTCTAAAAATGGGACTTCAGAAACAGTGATCTTTCATGCTGATTACCTATGAATTTTACCTAAAAAGATCTCTGACACATCAAGGTACAAATATGAAACATTTTGATAACATACAAGCATGAAACTTTAAACTGCTATGTTCCCTAAAAAGGCAAGAAGTACTTTTTAAAAATAACTGTACTTGTTAGCACAGCATTTATTATCAGGTCTTAAGACAAATACATTCATGTCGTACCTGAATAGTGAATTAGACTTACTTGAATATCACCTTCAGATTTTGTTCTCGTCTTCTGCAATGTAGAAATCTCTGGGGAGAGATGCAACCATCAGAACTTTATGCTTATTTAAAAAAAAAAAAGTGCATCAACCCTTTCTAAAAGGAAAAAAAAAAGCACGTGCAATTTACTTTTTAAATCAGATTTTATATCAATTTGCTTTTTATTTTTTTATATCCATTTTTTATTTTTATGTCAGGAAAGATTTACATTCCCAATCGTGAACAAATGCATAGCCTAAGTCTTTTTTTTTTTTTTAAAGATTTCTTTTTTATTTATTTATTTGAGAGAGAGAGACAGAGAGAGAGCATGAGAGAGGGGGGAGGGTCGGGAGGGTCAGAGGGAGAAGCAGACTCCCCGCCGAGCAGGGAGCCCGATGCGGGACTCGATCCCGGGACTCCAGGATCATGACCTGAGCCGAAGGCAGTCGCCTAACCGACTGAGCCACCCAGGCGCCCCTAGCCTAAGTCATTTTAACAGTTCTTGGTACAGGTAATGGTGGTAGTCAAACCAAAAACCAAAGTGTCATCTCAGTGGAATACGTTAACCAAAAAAATGGTTTGTTTATTTTCTTATTAGCGGTCTAAAGAACTGTTAGGAGGTCACTTCGAGAAGCCCCTCTCTAGACTGCATTGTCAGCAAGGCATTCTCTGTGCTAACAGCGCAAGTTTGGTAGATCCCATTTCTGATACCAGAGCATTAGGAGTCAGGATTAAGAACAACCTCTCCAGCTAACTATAGCCCATGACAGAACAGGACAGCCACATTTATCGACCAATGGGGCTCCCCATGCTGCAGGCCTGCCGCATGTTGGGAATAGAATGATTTCCCAAAAAAGTGTGAGCGCAGTTTAAGGGACTTTGAACTTGAATTTTTTATGTGGATCCTAGAGGTCAAGTTTGGATTTGAATAGAAATTTCATTTACCTTTGGTTGCCGGTTTTAGTTCTTGCGAAAAAGTTATGTTGAATCTCTGTTTCAATACGGTAGAACCGAAGGAAGAAAGGGGCAAGGTAAATCATTTAATGGTTAATGGTCTATTCAGTTGTAGCAATAGTACGTCTAGCTAGCAATGTATATATCTATATATACTTACATAACTAACGTATGCAGCAATTCAGTGGAGATTTTATTTGCTTTTTAAAGCTAGCAGGTTGTTTAATTACAGGTTAAAGCCAAGTGTGTGGCACTTAACTTACTTACAAGTGCACTGGATTTTTAAAAAGAAAGCAAGAGGTGGGGGCTTAGGCGTTTGGGAATCTATGAAAATATATGAAAGGGAGACACTTCACTTATAACCTGATCAGTTAAGATGAAATTGCATCTGACTGTCTTCTCTGGTGTGATAGTATTTTCATAAGAGCGAAACTTCTTAAAAGCTAAAGAGTTGAAGGACATCCCTCTCACGGAGCCCACGGTGCACTGAAAATGTAATACCTTCGTGGCCGAATGACTAATCAAGCCATTAATGTACCCACATGTCTGAGTCCGAGGGTGGCCGATCTGCGGCGACACTTGGGGTGCTGACTTTGTTTCCTGGTTGTTTAATTAAAAGCATGAGCCCTATTGAGTAAAAGGAAGTCTTCTTAATGAAGTTTCTCTTTTATAGGCTTAAGGAGTACTTTTATGCCAGGGAAGCAGTGAATTATATCTCCAGGGCTCGTATTTTTTAAATACATCCCCAGTTGGACTTTCCTCACTATGACTTAAAGGGAGAGCTTTGCACACACACAGACTAAGTACAGGAATTTTTAAAGAGTGTATTTTCAATGCATGAATTTCAAAGATGGGGTACAGAGGGAGGGAGGAGACTTTACCTTGCAGAATCTTCTGCGGAGACAGAGTGCTTGAGGAACGAGCTAGAACACGTCAGCCAGGATCAAGAGACTTTGTGGGAAAAGCAGAAAGCGACCCTGAAACCATAGGGGGTGACTTGTGAAAGTTTTGTGTGCTGTGAGGTCGATCCTGTGCCGAATCCCCTTTCCCACTGGTGAAACTCTTGTTAATACCTCCAGCGTATGGACATGGACCGGCGGAGGGAGGATGCCCGGAACCCGAAGCGTAAGCCCCGCTTAATGGAGGAAGATGAGCTGCCCTCCTGGATTATTAAGGATGACGCCGAAGTAGAACGGCTCACGTGTGAAGAAGAGGAGGAGAAGATATTTGGCAGGGGGTCTCGCCAGCGCCGGGACGTGGACTACAGCGACGCCCTCACGGAGAAGCAGTGGCTGAGGGTAGGTGTGGCTTTCTTACCTGTCGTTGCCAGGTGGATGCTCCTGTTGGCTTGCGCAATCGGGAGCCCAGGGACCAGTGGCCAGTGAAAGCCGAAGGGGCTCTTGAACCCAGGGAAGGTCGCTTGGCTGTTGCCGTGGCCTCTTTGCATTTCAAGGCAGGGCCTTGAAATATAAGGAAGAATGTCTTGCGAGAGCAGAATTGGCCATTGGAAACAATGAGGCCCGCTAATGTTTTATGACCAATTGCCTGGTCATGCCTCACTGTAGGAGTTAGGATCAAAATGTGGAAGGGGGCCTGAGAGATCTTTTTAATTGTTCCCCCTCAATGTCCTGGTCTTGAATCGGAGTTTTACTTTTCCAAGGCCTGCAGAGAGAGTTGAGACAGTGGTATTTTCTAGCTGCATTGTTATTTCCTAGACCCAAAGAAATTAGAGCTGGAAGGTGTCTTTGTATTCTCTTGGTTTTAGGGACAAAGCAGTTGTGGCCCAGAGAGGTTCAGTGACTGCAGGATCGCACAACTGGCTAGAAATAAGAAGTCGTGAGTGCTGAAGCATTTGCATGCCCAGTTTTGGCTAATGTGATCTGTCCATCGCAAGCACAGACTGGGGTCACTGAAGTTTGGAAATGTTATTCTGTAGTTTGGGGTCCCCCCCAACTTTGGAAAATGTTGATTTCTCATCTTGACTGGGGAATGAAATCTCAGAACGTTTGCCTGGGGAGCATAGAAATATCGCAATGCGCGTCCTAGGAGTGACGTGCTTGAATGCCACGGCCGGTGGGAATCTTGCATTTGAAGGTTTTGCCCCACTTTCCCTCACTGGGAGCAGACTTAGTGCCTGTGTTGACAGCAATCTGGGACCCTCGTTCCAGGCAGGACCAGTAAATGTGCACTGGAAACAGTCAGCTCCGTTGGGTTGAAAACCAAACAAAGTAGAAGCTGTTGTTGTGAGTTGTTCATTTTATCGAAAGGGAGTGCCGTTCCCAGGCTTTGTGAAACGTGGCTTTAGGACCCAGGACATAAGTAGGTAGGTGGGTAGAAAGGCAATGGGAAGGATTTTGAGATCGGTTATCAAAGGCAGAGAGGTCTTGGCACCACTTGAGATGTGATTTACTCAGGATGCTGTATGATGAGAGAGACGTGACCTGAATTTTGAAAAGACTGAGAAAAGAAGAGCATTGCTCATATTTATGGCTGAACAATGGCATATGAAATCTAACTTCCTGTGTGCGACTGTCTTACTCTCATATCCAAATATCCCCGTGGCCCCAGAGCATGGTTTTATGGATTTCTTTTGTTTCCCAGTTGTGAGGTTGCAGCTGTATAATGAAGATTCATTCTGTAATGTGAAGAGTTTTGTGTTTGTTTAATAATCATTTCTGAGCTCAGGAAAATTCTCCCTTTCTCTTTTATTTAAGTAATAAACTGAGTGCCTGGAGTCCTATTACAGCAGATGATACATCCATCCAGGCCGACATGGAAAGTCAATCTTTATATGTAGAACCTGCAGATATTACAAGCAAAATCACCTTGTCTTTTAGGCAAGAATGTGGCTGAACTCATCATTTTTGAAATAACCCTTGGGAAACGCTTTTAAGAAAAATAACATGGAGGGGCGCCTGGGTGGCTCAGTCGGTTAAGCGTCTGCCTTTGGCTCAGGTCGCGATCCCGGGGTCCTGGGATCGAGCCCCGCATCGGGCTCCCTGCTCGGCGGGGAGCCTGCTTCTCCCTCTCCCTCTGCTGTTCCCCCTGCTTGCGTTCTCTCACTCTCTCTGTCAAATAAATAAATAAAATCTTTATTAAAAAGAAAAAAGAAAAATGGATCTTAGAAAGTTTTCAAGTTTAGAATACCTCATTTGTTCTCTTTTTCCTTCAGAGTCTGTCACTAACGAATAGCAATGCCTAGCACATAGTAGGGACCCAAGGAATGTTTGCGAAATGAAATTGTAACTTTTAAGAGGAAAGTAGACATTGACTTCGTTGACTGTAATGTTAGGATAGCCCTTCTCTTTCTAGTGATCCAGTAGACTCTCTTTGACCTCTAACATACACGTCTAAAAATGGAAAACTAGTTTGTTTTTCAAAACGACACTGTGAAATTCGCGTTTATAATCTAACGTTCACGCTGAGGTGTCTTGCGAGATACGGAGACACCTGGGAAGGACAGAAGTGTTCTCAGCACAGCTCTAATGTAGTACCTCTTTTTGTGATCCATTCTTTTGAAAATGGTCTGTCTGTATTTGGAAGGAGCTGGTGACTCTGTCAGCTGGGACGCGCAGTCAAGACATGGCCTAAGCATTCAAAATAGATGCTTACTGTCTTTTCTTTTCTCATTCGCCAGCAGCAGTCCTGTTCAATATCAGCCTAGCAAGCTTTTTGGTTAATAACATTATATTCAAGGGGTTTTCACGAGCCTGGACGTGAAGAGATGTTCTCTACTGGCTTGTGATTGAGTGCGTTGCATAGACCCGGCCAACCCAGACTTGAAAGGGAATATGGCAAAGCCTGTCGTGTAAGAAATGCTGAGACAGGGCTAACATAATTCTTCTTTCTCCTGGCAATGTTGTACAAAGCCTGCTTGGCAGAGGCCTCGGCGATACGTAGAATCCCAGAGCTGGAAGGCAGCTGAACGGAGCAGCTCCCCATCCCGTGCCCACACCACAGTCTCCGCAGCCCCTGTGCCAAAAGGCTGGGCATCCCTCAAGGAGACGCGCTGCCTTTTTGTCCGCAGAGCGCCTCCAATTTGTGGTCAGCCCCGATTGTTAGTTCCTCCCCGCTTTGAACAGAATCCCCTTTCCCTGTCGCTGTTCCTCGCTGGCCTTGATTCTGCTTCCTGGGGTGAACAGAACCCTGTTTTCTTCTGTGTTTAGCATCACGTCCCACCGGATCAAACCTGAGGACTCGTGGTCAGTCCGGAATGCACTTCCCCACCCCTCCTCCTTCTGCTGAACTTTTCTCATCCTTCAAGGCCCAGCTCCATTACCACTGCATCCGTGGCACCTTCACAAATAGAGCGTGGTCGAACTTCCTCGGTCCCAGCTCGGAACGCAGTCTCCTGCCGTTTCTTGGTAGTTGCCCACACGCCCGCTTTTCTAGTAGCGGGGAAGGTGGATCTTGTTAGAACTTAGGAATTCCGTGTGCAAATAGGAAGCGCCCATTGGCTGCTACACTGAATTAGCACCAGATGGATGTGGAAGAGTATGGCCTAGGGTCATGTTCACAGCTGCAACGGCTGGACCTACACATGCCCTACTCACAAGTAGAATTTTCTTGCCCACGTAAAAGCCCACAGTGAGTGGTTCTGGTTGGTGGTGGCCTCGGCTCTCCACGTGGCCATTCCAGAGCCCCAGCTGATGGAGCCTCTGCCAGCTTCTTCATCAGTTTCCCAGAGAACTGAAGTGGGGGAGACAGCACAGAGTGGCGGGTGTGGGGTTCGGAGGGGCCACGCCTGCCCTGGTTCCATTATCACTGCCGCTCACGGTCCATGGGCTAGAGCTCAGTGGTGTGGCCATGCTGGTCGTAAGGGAGACCAGGGAATGCAGTCTGGCCGTCTGCCCAGGAAGATAAGATTCTGGTGACTAGCTAGCAGTCTCCGCCCCAGAACACTTCGGCTAAATTTAAGTGATACGGCCACTTTCTGTGAACATTGTATTATGGTTTTATCACAAACAGGTTTTATTTTAGAATCGTATTATGCTAAAAATTCCCACAGTGACCTTTAGACCATCTGTTTCGTTGGAAGATTTTGAAATTTTTCTGTTATTCGTAATGTTGTTTTAAATGAGAAGGATCACAATTTCAAACACAGCTTAATTAAAAAAAAAAAAAAAGTTTTTTGAAGTTATTCTGAAATCCCTGTTTTCCATTGAGGGAAACTTCGGTCTCTTTGGTGTTAGCTGAAGTCTCCAGTTAACTTATCTTTTTGGGGTAGTCAGGGCAGCATTCAAGTATCCCATGGGCTGTTTCTCTCCTCTCCTGGGGCCTGCTGTCCCATCTTCCTCCCCAAGTGGCATCTGGATAATGGTAGGAGCTGGTGTTTCATCGTGGCCTTGGGGGCTGGTGCCCTGGTTCTCCCGCTATCCTGTGGGTCGCTGCTGGGCTCAGCGCAGGGCTACCAGTCTGTCCTGTCCCTGGAGGTCTCGGCATGCATCTGGTCCCATCTCATTCCCTGGGAGATCTCCATGATTTGTGCTGTTGAAGTCTGGGGTCCTGGCTCCTCCAGTTGGCAGCTTTTCTGAAGTCTCACGAAGACCCTCAGGCCCTCTGGTGCTGTCCTCGCGCTCCCAGCTCTTCTGTGCCCTGCTTGAGAATCTGCAAAGTCTTGGCTGCTTTCTTCACACTGTGCTAGACCATGCAAGAGAGTCTAGCCCCGTTTCTCAACAATGGCAGAGTCACCACCAGGGGGTTGTCAAGACTGAAGTTTCTAGAATCTGATGGCTGGATGGGTGAGGGAGGTTTTTTGGGGGTTTTTTGTTTCGTTTCGTTTTGTTTTTTGCTTTTTTTTGGTAAAGATTTTATTTATTTATGAGAGAGAGAGTGCACATGAACAAGGGGGGGCGCAGAGGGAGAGGGAGAAGCCAACTCCCCAATGAGCAGGGAGCCAGATGCGGACGCGGGGCTCGATCCCAGGACCCTGGGATCATGACCTGAGCCAAAGGCAGACACTTAATGACTGAGCCACCCAGGTGCCCCGGTGAGGGAGCTTTTTAACACAAGCAAGACGAAAATGTCTAGCTTTTGCACATTGTATCTCTACAAGCCATATGAACATATCGTGGGGGACCCTCCCAGAGCCTTAGAAGGAGCGTGTGAGGTAAAAGTTCTGAAGTTTGCACTTTATTAGCTTCACAGAAAATCTACCTCTGGGCACTTTTAGGGTCTCATTCCTCTAGCTCCTTGCAACCGCCCCTCCCACCCAAATGCACCACTGGACCCTCAGGGGCGAGTATTCCATTTCAACACCAACCAGGTTCACTTCTGGTGCTAGCTACCCAGAGTTGGC